GGTTCTCTTCTTGAATTCCTTGATCTGCTACCATAGATTCAGATGCACATGGCAGAACTTCTTCAACTGGAACGGTGGCCGGAGAAACCTTTTGTTGTGAAGCTTGGTCAAGAGTTGTTGAAGGAAGAGATCCAATATCCTCGTATAAGGACTCACCAATGCCTTCATCTTTATTTGAGGGATGATAAGAAGTCCCACCGGATAAATTTGGGAGAGGCTCAGCTGAAAGGGAAGATTGGTAGTATGAGACCTTTGTTCGTCCACCCTTCCTATTGATTTAAAGGCATCCGCCATTAATTTCTGCAGAGGAGAATCCACTAACATCTTTCTACGGGTACGTTTCTCATGCTGACCCGCCTCCTCCTCAGTAAGAACCTTTTTTCCAGCTGCCCTTGTTCTCGGAGTTTCGGTAGCCCTAAGCCCTTCTCCTTGAGCGCTCTCCAGTCCCTGGTCTCCCTCTTCTTCTTCAGCTTCATCCTCATAGGATAAGAACTCGTTTATGCCTTTCAGACGAGATACTCAGGATCCTTTTCTGGATGAATATATTTTTCTGATTTCCCATAAACCGGAGAGATTCAGCTTGTAATTATATATTTTTGAGGTTGCGTAATACCAATTGCAGAAGGCCATGGAAGTGAAAGAGTTGTATGTCTTGTGAGGTAATCTGAATGTAGCCCTAGTGCATCCTGCTATAGAGTAGTACCAAGTCCGAGCTCCTTCGTATAGATTACCAATGGTCGCTAGTTGGACCCTTGGATTCTTGACATATAATTGATCGTACCCAAACTATCGAGTGAACCTGTACAGTTGGTACGACTCAATTATACACTTTTCACTGTCTAAAAAGGAGATAACCTGGTCTAATGTTGAGTAACCAGCGGAAGACTCCTCCATCCAATCGAGTGAAACCGTTCGGGCCAGCGGCATCTTGAAATACCTGTCCATATCCCCCACCTTCAAAGTCTGAGAAGCAACATAATATATGATAGTTGAGATCTCTCGATAAAATTTGATGAACCTTTACCACATATGTTCCTTCCCAAGTGGCTTTCTCTAACCTCTGTATGAAGGGGATGAATACGTCGCCTGAGGAGGATGGTGCACTCATTAGAGAAGGACAATGAGAGACATACAGTGCCATCAAATAAGTATATGGCAATGGCACTCAAGGATTGGGAGTTATTACACTTTTCTTCTCTCCGGAGTCTATCTCTTTCACCTAAAAAAATTCAAGGCATAGCTCCCTTAGACCATGCTGCAAACAACTCACCATGGCTGAAAGTAAAATCACGGGCCTCTCATGGGCCAATAGAACGGCCGGATAGACCACTTCTGCAATCACGACATCTATAGGTCTGGTGGGGATGACGCAACATTTTAACCATAATATGAGAAACCCCGCCAGCAAAGCCATGTCAGAAATGGGAGTGGCAGCTTGGTGGTGGAAACTTTCGAACTCAGACTAAGCAGGAAAGCCGTCTTCTCCTCCCTCATTAACAAAATGAGTTGTTGTGTCATTGATCAAAGCTTGAATAGTCTCAGGGGTGCTCACATCTTGACGAGACATAACAACAACTTTGTGAGATAAATTTTGGAAGAGATATTCGGCCCAAGACAGCTGCTTTATGCCACGTCGTGTCCCCATCAGTTGGGTAGAGATTCAGAAATGACACATCACCTCCCATAAAGTATCATAGATGTCGTGGCTGCTCTCCTTTAAAATTCTCAGCTCACTCGACCTGGGGATAAACTCTTCATAGGGCAAGTCTCCGAAGGGAAGGCCGGAAACGTCATACAATTTATGGATAGCAAACTCTAATTCCCCAACCGGAGTGAAAAATGTACATGTCTCTGGGTTGTATCCCTCCAGGATAGCATAAAAATTGTAATGGCTGTGATCAATACCATATCTGGTAGCCATTATAGGACAGTCAAGCCCAAATTGTGCTAACGGTCCCCCTAACTCTTTCAATACAAAGCCTGTCATTCTCGTCCACCACAGTGCTCTGATGGAATGTACCCATCTGGGAGTTCTAAACAGTGAGGAAGAGAAATCCCCTTTCACAGCCAAAATCTCCGCATAAAGGCGTTACTTGGACTGGTTGTTTCCCCCATAGGGTATCCTCTTGAGAATAAGCATGGCTCTAAAGCTGACACTTGTTGGTTGTAACCTACGGTGTGCACGCTAGTAAAAGCCAGAGCCTCAATTGCTACACCATCCTGCTCTCTGACAAGGTCACAGTTCATATGTCTGGAGAAGGAGGCGCAATGGTAATATGAGATAGGGAACATTCTCTGCATCTCAGGAAGGAAGAAACGGTGATCTCCTATCTGCCTTAACCATTTATAATCCTCACCATATGTGACTTCCTTCAAGATGACAACATTGTCCTTAAACAGAAATGTCGGCTTGATGAACTTCTTACGAGATTCAGTTTCAAACGTGGCATCTGTAACCAAAATCCTAAGTACGGTCGGACTAGCTTGGGTGATCAAAGTGGCACGTTCCCTGTCGACGTCTTGAAAAATTAGAAGTTCCTGACGCAGATTGAATTGCATATTTAAGTCTACACCACCTTCATGACCAAAGTGATGGAAAAAAGTGAGGGGTTCATTGGCATAATGCACTGCAAAAGAAAAGAACAATCAGTTAGTGCAGAGGCAAAACAAAGAGACTTGACGCAACTACAGAGGTCAAACTCTATGTTGAAACATTCAAACGCAGAGGCCAGACCATGTGTTGTAATATCCAAACGCAAAGGTTAGACCCTGCGTTGTAACATTTAAACGCAGAGGTCAAGCCCTTCGTTGTAAATTCCAAACGCAAAGGTTAGACCTTGTGTTATGATATTTAAACGCAGAGGTCAAGTCGTGCGTTGTAAATTCCAAACGCAAAGGCTAGATCCTGTGTTGTGATATGTAAACGCAGAGGTCAAGCCCTGCGTTGTAAATCTCAAACGCAGAGTCCAAGCTCTGTGTTACAAAATTTGAGCGAATAGGCTGAAACCCCACGCTTCAAATTCCAAACACAGAGTCCCAACTTTGTGTTATGTCATTAAAGTGAGTCTCCTTGTTATTCAAAGTTTAGAACTTGCCGAAACAAGTTTTATAACCACAAAGGTCACACTTACCACCAACGAAAGGGAACTGTGGCGACAGCGCACCTGCCTGAACCACAGCATCGCCGACGAACACTGAGCCGCGGCCGCAGTGGGCCTAGGGTGAGAAATAGTCTTCTTTTTAGGTGCCATTGATGAGGACTATTGGAGAAGATGAACAAGATTCACCGGAGTTTAAAATGAAAATTTTTTGTTGAACAATTCAGGGAAGAACGAAGAAGAGTCGAATGACTATTGATTTGACCACAGCGGTCTATTTATAGATAGCTGTGAGCTGTCAAATCGGGACGAGATCCCAGGCAAGAATCCTGCCCAAACACGGCCCCTACGTCCGTGTTAGAGTTGGTTGAACTTCTGACGCAAAGTTCACCTCTGCATCCCAAATCTCAAGCATAGGATTCACTTGTGCGTTTCAACGCCACAACACAAACATTTCAACGGCCAGGGCTATTGTACAGCTTCAAATAATTAGAAAGAATCTAACAACAGTGTTTGTTGGAAAATTTGTAATAAGAAAATGAAAGACTTGAATTTGATTTATTCTTTCTAAATGCTTAGAAAAAGAATGTTTACAACTCTCTCAAACTTAATTATAATTCGAATTTCCTGATTACAAAAGAGAAGAGAATTGATATGAATTCCCTTCTTTGTTTAAGTCTGGGTTTTTCATAGTGGCGATGGAGTGCCTCCCTCGAATGCTCACGTCGAGTTTGCTCTTCGTTGATGATCCGAACAACTCGTTGGAACAGTTAACTTGTGTGGAAAGTTTGAAAACTCTAATCAAGTTAATAACTCAGAACGAGTTTTTTAAGAACTCTGTGATGGAGTTGATTCGAACCAAAAGTTGGTTAATAAGCTAAGGATTCGAGATGATGATGTCGTGCCAATGAACTGGAGAAAGTTTCAAAGATCCAAGGAAGAGATCAAAAAAATCTCCGCTGATATTCCCAGATCTGAAGCTTTTAAAAGCCAGAGATGACCCCCTTGATCCTCGGAATTCGATGATGATCCAAAAGATCCCTAATTGAACTGATTTTTTAGTTATTTATAGAGGATTAAGGGGTATAACTACCTCCTTAATTCGTTCCTAAGTGGGTGAGAATCTCCTAGATTGTGGGAAACGGTTTTGGAACCATTCGACTCACGTTAAATGAGTCAAAAACGCCCAGTTTGGCATTCTGGGCCTTAACTCTGCGTCTCAGAACTGAGACGCGGAGTTCGGCTTCTACCGAAAATTGAGAACGAACACAGGGGTCGCCTGTGTTCTGAAATCATGAACACGAGAATGAACTCCGCATTTCTTAGAAGTAGTTGTTGATTTGTAACTTTTTCTATTGAAGCGTGTGCAATGACCGTTATTTTGTAATCTTTGCCTTAGCCATTTGGGGTGTGAGAGCCGTCAGATTGTAACTCTCACGATTGATTGTGAAGGCTATTGAATTAGAGCTTTCATCAATCATCGTGAAGGTCGTCGAATTTGTAACATTTCTCGATCTACGTGAGAATCCTCCAATACAGCTTTTATTTGTTGACATGAAAGTCGTCTGATTGTAACTTTCTTTGTCGAGATGCTGATGTAGAAGTCGTCAAATTGTAACTTTCGTCATTAAAATTTGATAGGGACCAGCTATCTGTTGTGATTTTTAGACAGCCTACAAACGACCATCAAGATGACAAAAGCCGAGAAGAAATTAATTTACAACAAGAAGCTATGCAGCCTCTTGGATGAGTACAGACAGGTTATAATTGATATCGCTAACACTATCAAGTTTGATCTCTCGTGCAACTCATCCTTTCAAATGGCTTAACATTCCAACCAAAATTAATAAGGATGTTGTTGAAATCATTACCCTAGTTGAGCTGATCAAGAAAGAAGACAAAATGGGTTCCTCTGAGGTTGCCCTCCTTGCCAAACTTGGGATAAGGTCCTTCTCATACGGGCTTGTGGTTCTCCCTGTCTGTGACAATGGATCCATCTTCAACCAAGAAGTACTTAACCTCATTGAGGATGACCTTATTGACAAGTTTACAGCTGATGTTTTTATGGTTGCTTTGCTGTCTTTGTCTCTCTCTTACCTAACTCTTGCAGTTGCGCTTCACATATTCATCGATGCCTATAAGAATGTCCTTGCTATTGCTGTCGACACTGAATACACCTTCATACAAGTTGAAGGAGTATCTCAAAGACTCAAGCAAATTAATTATTATTACTATCGCCCCTGTTGCATTGGCTGGTGTAGACGGTAAAAAATACCTCTATGGGTCTACAGGAAATTTGTCTACGAGAAGAGTTCGCACGCCCAG